GAGCATCTCCCTCTCGCAGCCCAACATGCGTTTCATATGCCTTGATTGTTCGCCCTGTATTTCGATTTTTCAAACAACTTTACGCATTGTAGCCTTAAGCAATCTTATCAGTTTATCGGGGACGTGTAATTCATACAATTTATTTCTTTGGACACTATCATAGGCCGATTTAAAATCTACGAAAAGATGGTATGTGTCGATATTGAATTCATTGATTTTTTTCCAGTATTTGCCTTAACACAAAGATCTGGTCTGTTATTGATCGACCAGGCCTAAAACCAGTTTGATATTCTCCAAAAAGCTCCTCTGAATATGCACTCAGGCGACCATATAAAATACTTGAAAATATTTTGTATGCTGTATTAAGGAGGGTTATTCCCCAATAGTTTCTACATTCCAATGTATCACCCTTTTTGGGTAGCGGGCAAACGATCCCAATACACCACTCTTTCGTGATTTGTTCCTCATTCCAGGCTCTCAGTATGATTTTACATATATATGATTAGTTAGAGTAGCACTTCCACATTTAATAAGTTCCGCGGGTATATCATCACTTCCTGGATATTTATTATTTTTTAGGTGTTTTATTGCATCCCGTACTTCTTGAATTGATGGAGGCTCCAATGGTGTATTGTTGCTTGCTCCTTGGGGGTGGTTGATTTGGATCTTCTACTTCGAAAGTAAGTAATTCTTTATAGTGTTCCATCCACCTTTTCAATACTTCTTCTTTTGTAATGAGTATATGCCCCTCCTTATCCTTACATAGTCCGATCCTTGGTTTAAATTCTTTTCTTGCATTATTTAAATTTTTGTAGAATTTTCTTGTTTGATTTTCCTTTTTTAATGTCTCAAGTTCTTCCAATATTCTATTTTTATAGGTTTGCTTTTTTCTCTGATGGATGTACTTCTCTTCTCTTCTGAGATCTTTATATTTTTGTTTTTTTTTTCTCGGGTTCTTCTTTGCTGCATCAGTTTATATCCATTGTTCTTTCTTCTTGTAATGTTCTCACACTTAGCATCGAACCACTCATTGCGTGGTGATGGTCTTTGCGGCCCTAGAATGTTATTTGCTGCGTCTTTAATATAATTTTTACATATTTCCCATTGTTCACTAATTGTTAGATTCCCACTGCAATGTAATTTATTATATTTGTTGGTTTGGGCGAATTCTGTAAAGCAGTTCTTGTAAATATAGGTAATGTCCGATGGTTAAATTGCAATATTTAACTGGATCGGTGATAGTAAACAAAAAGCAAAAGAATGATTAAACAAATCTGGTATAAACTTATAACCAGTTTAGTAGTATCCACAACACTCCAAAACAATAACAAACAAACACAATTAAATTAATACAACTGAACACAGCCATGGTCGAAGACTAACTGACGTTGTTTATATTGTTAATATGAGTGCTCTAATTGAGTTTTTAGTCCAAGGTTACCCCTAAGTACTTTTTAGTTTCTCCCCAAATAATTTCAGCTCACTTGTCCTGTAAGCTACCGCTTATTAGTAAAGGCTCCTTTTTCTTCCTATGCCGTTCCCATTAACGGAGGTTAGCGACCACATTTCTAAAAGTTTCTCTGTCTTTTGCAACGTGAAATAATTCATCTAAGGTCATGTTTGTCCAGTCTCGAATATTTCGCAGACATGACTTCCTCTTTCTACCTATTCCCCCTTTTAGCCATCGACTCTACCTTGCATAATGGCTTGCAGAAGACTATATTTATCATTCCTCAGTATGTGTCCAAAGTAAGCAGTCTTGCGTACTTTTATTGTTTTCAACAATGTTTTGTTTCGACCCATCCTTCTCAGCACTTCCTCATTGGTGACCCTGGCAGTCCATGGAATTCTCAACATTCTCCGGTATATCCAAAGTTCAAAGGCTTCAAGCTTCTTAACTATTTGCGCTTTTAACGTCCATGTTTATACCCCGTACAATAATTGGGACCAGACGTAACATTCAACAAACCTCAGTCTCAGTGCAGTATTCAGATTTCTGTCACAGAACAATTGCTTGAATTTTAAGAACGTTGCCTTTGCCATTTCTATTCGTACCCTGATCTCTGGGTCTGGATCTAATTCTGTGTTGATGTAAGCTCCCAGATCTTTATATTTTGTCACTCTCTCTATTTGCTGTCCACCAAGGGTTAGTTGTTCATTATTTATTGGACTCCTTGATACTATCATAAACTTGGTCTTATCTGTGTTGTTGTCAAGTCCCATTTGAATGCATTTACTATTTATTGCATCTAGTAAAGTTTGTAGTTCTTCTATACTCTCAGCCATAATTACCGTGTCATCTGCAAATCTCATGGTGTTTACGATGTCTCCACCAATTCTTATTCCCTCTTTTCTTTCCCATAAGGCTTTTCTGAATATGACCTGTGATTACACGTTGAAAAGCGTCGGCGACAAGACGCATCCTTGCCTGATCCCTCTCATAATCGGTATATTATTTGTTGCTATATCGTTCACCTTTACCAACCAGCTTTCTGGTGCCAGTATATAGCCTTAATAAACTCAATATCTTTTTTGTCTAAATTGATGTTTTTTAATTCATCTATTAAATTCATATGCTGCACTCTGCCAAAGGCCTTCCTAAAGTCTATGAAGCATACATATGCACTCTTGTTATATTCCCGACATTTCTGCAAGAGCACTGTCAACGCAAATAATGCCTCTGTTGTTCCCATGCCTGAGGAGGTGAAGCCAAACTGCGTTTGATCTATCTGTTTCTCACATCTCTTATAAATTCAGTTTTAAAACGATTTTCAAGAGAATCTTTAAAGGGTTGCACATTAGGCTTATCAATATGTAGTAATTACATGATTTGGGATTGTTGTTTTTTGGTAGTTGTAAAAATATCGATTTAAGTCATTCCTCCGGGATGTTGCCCTCTACATATATGTGGTTGAGAATTGGGGTGAGTCTCTTTATATTACTGTCATCTAAGGCTTTTAACAGTTCAGTTGGAATTTGATCAGGACCCATTGCTTTTTCTTGTTTTGCATTCTGTAGGCAGAATGTTTGCTATTGGCAATTGTCGTCTTTTAGGTTTTTGATGTTTATTTTGGTTGTTTTAACTTATTCTCCGGTTTTCTGAGTTTAATGTTGACGTTTGCTAGTAATAAATTATGGTCCGTGTCTGCATCTACGCTTGGATAGGTTTTCGCACTTTGTACTCCATTGCGAAATCTCTTGTTAATCGTTATAAAATCTATTTGGTTTCTCTTTCAGACACCAATTCTCTATGTAATGAAGGCCGTATTGGATCTGAGTCGCAACAGTATAGGAAAATCCGAAGTAGCACTATACATAAAATATTTATAAATATCTCTTCTACACCTATCCGATTATTAAATTCTGTTTACAATGTCTACCATTGCGAAATATTTTTTCTTATGCTTTCAACAGGTAAATCTTCCATTTAATCATTTATAATTTCACTCATATTTATCCAGTTTACTCAAATCTTTACAACACTTCTTAATCAAGCAAAAGGAAGATTATAAGCTATCAGGTAAACATTCGTCCTTAATATATTTAAGTGATCTTGAAAAGCGCAAACACTTCACACAAACGTTCTTTGTAAGAAAGTATGACTTATTCCTCAAATAAACTACTTTGCCTGACATTAATAAGATCAAAGAAGGCGCAGTAAAAAAAGTAAGTAAATATAAAAATCAGTTTATCGTAATTATCTATTGTGTCACAAATAATTATTGTTCTAATTTCAATCGGCATCGTATATAAAGTTCCAGGTACTTATTGCATGTACTAATTTGAATAAAAAAAATATTTATTGTCTTGCAGCTGATAATTGCGATTTGTATATAAATAGGTGGCAGTGCGTTGAATATGGGTTGTAAATCCTAGAAAAATGTGTGACATATTATTACTGACAAAAACTGTGGTCTTTATAGTGTTCTTGTTAATACAATTCACCAAAGAAGATGTGCCTACGAGGTTAGTAATATTATGTTCGCTGATAGCTGTGGATTACAAATAATTCAAGAGGTCGAGGAAATAAGAGACCTAAACTTCATTTGAAACATTTTTGGTAAATCACTTTTGAAGTTTGTGACAAAATCCTGAAATCATACTTTTATATTTTATAATCTTCTTCTTCTTCATGTACCATGTCCTTTCAGAACGTTGGTTACCATCATAGCTATCTTAATTTTATTCACTGCCACCCTAAATAGCATGCTTGTATCAACACCATACAAATCTCGCAAGTTTTTCAACCATGAGGTTCTTCTTCGTCCTGGACTGCGTTTGCCTGCTATTTTTCCTTGCCTATTTTGCTATTTCTTACTTTATGATGTCGAGTCCAGATCTTCTATTTGTATTTCTCCAGAATCTGGCCATCTCATTTCTACTATTCTCATGATTTCAATATGCATTCTCTTCATCTCCTATATTGCAGTGTTGATTTTTTCTGCTTTGTATAAAGTTTTGACATTCCATGTGCAGATCTTGATATTCTTTCTGCACTTCAACTTATTAACATTTGGTAAACTCAAAACTGTCCTCCTAAACTGACATATGCCACTGTTATTTTAACCGCCTCGTATCATAATAATGGTAAAATCAACATAGCGTGACAGAAAACAATGAACAAATATCGCTAAATCAACATTTTAAACTTTACAAAACCCCTTGAGCTAGAAATATGTATTATTCCGAACCTAATTGTTTACTCAATAAAGTTTTACATATTAGTATAATGTTTTCAATAAAAATCAAGATATGATGCACCTTATATTTTTGCCAAGAATGTGGCATTGATTCAAATATATCCTAAAAATACGAACTGATCGATGTTTTTCCAATAGTCTAGACGAGTTCAAACAAAAGAAAATCCGGAAGAATTATTGTAATTCACTCACACGCAGCGCTAAAAAAATGATAAAAATTGGATTATTTCCAGTGTTAGACTCGAAATCCGTGACGCAACAGACGGAAAATGGTGCCAAGATTAAAAACTAGTGCAATAATATTAAAGTAAATTAAAAATAAACATTTTAAAATGACGTAGGCAAAAGAATTACAAAATGCCAATCTTACAGTTTCTAACAAAGATTTGGCTATGCCGTGCATTGTTAAAATACAACTTTACAATATGTTGCATCTTATATTTTAGCAGAAATATTCGACTGGAGCCCCCATTACATGCGAAAAGCAGCAGACAGCGAATAAAAGCATACTGGAACATTCCAACCTTCCAATGTGATACTTATAAGTTGAATTTTACTTCACTAGCCCAGAAATATGGAATAATTCAAAATGAAGATGACAGGTTTAGGGGAAAATTTATTAACATTTTGTATGATCCTGGTAGTTTTCCCGCAATTTTAAAGAACGCCAATACGACTGTGTTGAGAAATGGTGGAGTGCCTCAACAGGGAAATTTGACGTTGCATTTAAACATTTTTGAGAATATTCTGAATCAGCTAATCCCGAACAAAGGATTCTCAGGTATGTTTTATGATAAAAAATAGTATCCGTATTATCCAATTGGTCAATATTCAAAATTTTTTATATACTGCATCTTAGAGTGAAGTGGTTGTATGTTATTTGAATTTTAAAAAGCCTTTATTAAGATCGTATTAAAATTATCAAGTAATTATATGTTGTACCTATAGGAATTGGTTATTTTTCCGCGGCCACTAATTATTTCACTTATTATTTATTAAAATTTAAACGTTGACCTCTTTAATAAAATTAATTTCCTTTTATTTACATTTTTATGTTTGGATCACATTTGAGGACATTTTTTTAAGTGTTGCTTTAATACCAATTTTACCCCCTGGCTTTCCCCTAAGTAGGGGGAAAACCAGCAAAAATCGATTTACTGTAGAAAAAAATAAAAAATGTTTCAAATAAAAAATGTATCTGAGATCATCATATATATATATATATATATATATATATATATATATATATATATATATATATATATATATATATATATATATATATATATATATTAGTATAATGGTAAGGTTGATTGGGTTAGCAGCTGAATAATGAAAGCCAAAGTGTGCTCTTTTCAACGACTTCGCTATATTTCGTTAAATTTCTTTAACATCTTCAGACGAATGTTGTGTGAGGTTGCAGGCAAAAGTGGTATTTGAAAGTTCCATGTTGAAAAACTTTTTGAAGATTTTTTTATAGCAAAAAAAGGAAATAAGTTGTATGTGTTATATGGTGGCTTGAAAACTCAAACAATACAAGTGCATTTTTGTTATTTTCCTCCAGTGTGATAGTACAATACAAATATTAAAAAACATTGAACATTTAAGAAACAAAACAGCTAAAACACAACTACATATCACATTGTCATTTTTTGGACCAGCTGGTCCTGGTCCGAATTATCTGTTGTAATTCTTGAATATTTGCTGGTTTCGTTTGAGACACAACATTCTTCAGATGACCCCACATAAATCAATCCAAAGGATTGAAATCTGGTGACCTCGCTGGCCACTCAATAGGTCTACGTCTACCAATCCACCTGTTCGGAAAATTTCATCTAGGTACCTTCTAACATCTACATCATAATGTGGAGGTGCACCATCCTATTGCAACCATATACTTTCATCAAAACCTCCAGGATTACGTCTGCTGGGAAACAAATTACGTAAAGTATTTACGAGATACTCCCTTAAAAAGTAAAGGTACGTTGCCCCGTTTAAATTACCTTCGATAAAGTAGGGTCTGATGATTCGATTTCTTACAATTGCAGCCCATACATTTACCTTTTGCGAATATTGAGTATGATGCTCATTCATCCAGTGGGGGTTTTCTTTTGCCCAATATCTACAATTCTGACGGTTAATCTCCTTATTTAACGTGAAAGTGGCCTCATCAGAAAAAATAATGTTTTGTACCAATATAGGGTCTCGGTTGCAGTTATCCATCATTGCTTCGCAAAATTGCATTCTTCTATCGGAATCTTCTCTATTTTTGTCTGTTTTCTTTTACTTTTTTTCTTTATTATTTTAACTATTTCTTTCTGTATTTCTTTTTCTTTTGCTGGCAGATCATTATTTATGTAGATGCGATCTTCATGATATTTCAACTTACTTTTCCTATTTAGTATCTCAATTTTATCTGTAAAAGTTTCTGTTTCTATGGCATAGACTGTTTCCCCTATTTTTGTTGCATTCCTCAGTTTTTCCTTATTTGCGCCTGCAGTTTTTGTGATATGAATATTCCCATGCTTTCTTTTAGTTTCTTATCATCATTTGTATCTATTTTTAAATCTTATATAATCAAACTTTTATTTTGACTTGTTTTCTCCAGTTGTTCTATTCTGTCTTATAATTGTTTCACAAACAAACATACTTGTATAAAAATAATATGTATAATATGTCATATAAAGACAATGCTTGAAGCGACCGGCTACTTTCTATGTCAGGTATGCGCGCGAAATCCATTTTAAATAAAATTTATATTAACTCGACGGTAAAAATTCGATATCTTTTGATCAGAGTGTCACATCGACAAAAATCAAAATGCATTTTAAAGGAAAAGAAAGCAGCTTTCATATGCAATTTTGATCTTCTTTTTTTTTAATTTTCTTAATACTGCCATTCTACATTGAAAGGCCATATAAACTGTTTAATTGTTTGTGAATTCGGTGCTGCATAATTCTATTGATGAAAAATGATTATTTTAGGTATAGGTATAATAGACTTCGAAAGTTGGAGACCTATTTTCAGACAGAACTTTGGAACTCTGCTAGAATACAAAACTCTCTCAATTTCCATAGAAAAATCGAAACATCCGTTATGGAATCAAAGCCAATTAACTACAGAAGCTACCAGGAGATTTGAGAAGGCGGCAAAAATCTTTATGGCTAGGACGTTAATACTAGCCCAAAAAGTGAGACCTAAAGCTACTTGGGGCTATTATGCGTACCCTTATTGTTTCAATATGTCTCCAAATAACATGAAGAGTCTTTGTCCTTCAGAAGTAAGGGTAGAAAACGATAGGTAAAAATTTACATTTCATAAAACACCATTTTAACAGAACATAGATGTTAATATACTTCAGATATCGCTTGATTGTAAAATAACTAAATATAGAACACAACACGTTATCTTTTATCTTTTGGTATCTTTTCGTTTGACGAAGGAAAAGAGAGGGATTATAATCTGCATGAACGCGTCATAAACACTTAACACAATATTGTTCTGAAGCTATTTTCTTGTGGCATTGTAAATTAATTACTATTTAACTGGGAATAAGCCACAATTAAAGATAAAAATACGTTTATTGACGTTTCAATTTCCACTTCGGAAATCGTTCTCAAAATACAAACAGTAAATTAAACAAATTTTGTTTTTTGTTACATAGTGAAAAATTCTTCTAATAATTTAATTTTATCTGACTCATTTATATTGACAATTCAGACATACATTATGCATTTTAAAGTAGACGACTTTAAAATGATATTGCCAATATTGTTGAGTTGCGCTCCTGGGACGACATTACTTATAAGATAGTTCATTCGATTACATGAAATCAACTTTAACTTGAGAATATCCGTCAGAAAAAATCATAGCATGTAATTCGTCGTTAAAAAGACAAACACATGACATGATGACAGTAAAAATCTCGTGTTAGTGATTCCATAGTAAATTATGAGGGAAAAGCCAAGAAAAAAACCTCATAATACTATCCCGACATTGTAAGTATTTGTTCGTGAATTTAGTTTACCTTCAACAAACATCAAAATTCTGATTTTATATGTTAGGTTATTTAAAAAACATAAATGATGTATCCTCTATATGTTACTGACTTACTAATACTGGTATTTTCTTATTAATAACTTCCTCTTTCAATATTATTAACCAGATCCTACTACATTCTGCCGAGGAATTTGCGACACAATTGGCCTCATTTAGCATAATTAGAGCCGCTTCTTTGATTTTTCTTTTTTTACCATCCGTTTCCTTTAGGACTACATTTGAATTATTCCATTGAACCCTATGTTCATTATCCCATGCGTGTTTACATATATGGGGCGGTGAAAGAAAAAGTGGTGTAAGTCATCTGAGCATCATTTTGAGATATAAAAGGTTTTACTAGAAACATTGTAATTAAATCTATGGAACATTTATAAACATGCTTGTGATATTTTTTTATTTACTAAGAACATGTTCAACTCTATTTCAACATTTTTGTAAAAATAAAACTATGTTAAGGGTAGTTTTTAAGGGGTGAAATGACTTACACCACTTTTCCTTTAAGAGTTTAAAGAGAATGGAAGGAAAGCAAAACATGTTTATTGTTTTTACATTAGAAAATCAAATATAAATTCACTAGTTTATTAGTCATTGTTTTCTGCTATATCAGGAAGTGATCCAGCTTCGTCATTGACTTCATCAGATGATATAAGATTTCTAAAATAAGAATGGTGGACTGGAGGAATGTATGGTAGTAAATCACCCGTTTTTTAGCTGGCATTACTGGTCGAGGTGCTGTGTACAGGCAATCCAGTTGAAGATTTTTCAACAATTTTGGTCTTCCCTTCTGCTTGCTTCGAAGGATATTAATTAGTGAACAGGAAAAATCTTTATTTAATGTTTCTTTATAGAACAGTGAAAATGGCTCACCTTTTTTACTCTAATCCACTGCATTTTTAACCATGACACTGGTTGGTTATCCGTATTGGTTTTTCCTTTTGAAATTAATTTAGTGAGATTTTTCAGATCTTTAAAGTCTTCTCTAAGCATTTTTGTGAAAATGAAAGCTTTTTTCTTTCTACGCCGAACTATGACTAAAAACCAATCTTCAGGCATATAAATCAGTTTGCCTTTAGAATGAGTTTCAATTGAACCAAAGTTGGAGTCGTTTGGTAAGTAAGAGTGTCGGCTTACCATATACTTGTGATCAATTATTTCGATACTATTGTTTTCACTTTGAACTAACCATAACAAGGCCAAGGCAAAATCCCAGTTTTTATTTTGGCCGGTGCAGCTGTCACTGTACAATACAACATGCTTTGAATTTGCTGCACGTAATTCTATGTACTTTGTGACACAGGCACTGATTTCCTGAGATCCTCTCGAAGCTGTTGTTTCATCCCAACCATACATGTAGCCTTAGCCAGATGATAGCTCATGGCAGCCCAAATTATAAATGTACATATTATGTTTATAGTATAGATAGATGTGGTTAGTTTTGGGAAAAGTAGGGCTTTCTCTAGGTCAAAAGTGAATGCATAGTAAGAATCGTCAGTCTGGGCCTTTTCTGTATCTTTTTTCATAGAAGTACGTGCAAGCTCGGCCTTCCTAAGATGAAGTTCGTTCTCAATTTCAATCTGTTTTATCTCATTAGCATCTGTTGTTACAGCTTTTTTTTTTAATTTGTCAGCATCACACTTAAAGCACGTATCTTTTTGTGGTACATGAAAATGAAGGTTGTATTCATTATTGAATGTCCGGCGACAAATATCACTGGAAACGGAGACAGTAACTTGTTCGTGACAGTACTCACTCTACAAACGATACAGCAGGATAACATTAAGGTCAGAAGATAGATACCTACGATTGGGATTCTTATTCCTTGTGTAGTGCGATTGGTACGATGGAACATTTTGAATACGTTTCCGGACACAGTTCATACGTTCTTCAGATATTTTTTTTAGTTGGTATACCATAGCCTTGATTATCTGAACCAGATGGTTCCCCTTGTTTTATCTTATTAATGGCCCGTGACATTCGGCCATCAAATATCTGAAAGGTTTCAAGAAAGTATTTTTTACATACTTTCGTAGTTTCGCCTTGTTTTTGAATGAAATATTGGTTAGACACTGTCTTATCAGGTCGTAACTGATCCCTAGGACGTTTTACTTCAGGTTTCTTTTGTTTGATCAAACCACAAATTAAAGCATTCTGTGCTGTAAATGATTTCAATTTCCAGAATGAATCAAATGCTTTGTTTCTGTCTTCACATGACATATTTTCAAAACATTTTTTATTGCAATAACAGTTGTTGTTTGAAAAAGTTTTACCTGGCACTACTTTTCCTTTTGTTGTCTTATACTCACAACCTGAGTTGCGAAGTTGCTTTATTTTTTTTTTTTATTTTCATGCCTCTGTCGTTTTCGTGCTCTCTTGGGTGGTTGAACTTCTACTTCTCTATTACTTTCGCTTTCATGGTCTTGCGGAGAGACTTCCTCATTTTATTCACTGTCTGAAACAAACCAACTTTATTAAAATAACACTTAAAAACGTTGTTCTATTTATACGAGTTTATTTATTGTTAGTGTAGAGAATTCAACATTTTGAGGTTAGTTTTTATTTTATACAAATAAATATAATACACAAGTTTAACTTACCAATACTTTCTTGTTGAGACACAGGTACCCACTCCTCATCTCCTCAGTAAGCGAAAATACTAGGCTCATCACTCACATCACTTAAACTGTCGTCATCCATTGTATTGAAAAATCACAACTACAAAATACCTACTAAACAACTGTCATAGGAATGATGGAATAGTGGTGTAAGTCTGACTTGCACCACTATTTCCTCTACTACAACGGAGATTTTGTTTGACTGTCAAGTTTGTGCTGCTGTCTGTGAGCAAATGGAAGACTTATGACTTACACCACTGTTGCGTCTGATAGGTTTAAAAATGGAGATTTTGAAAATGCAATTATCTCTATTCTATAAAAAAAGTGACTTGCACCACTTTTCCTTTCACCGCCTCATATGTAAACACGCATGGGTTTTAAGAAGAGAATGAAACAAGAATTAGCACTCTACCATTTTTTTAGCAATCCTATGAGCATTCAAAGTTGAAGGTCGTGGGATAAACTAATTAACGAATCTCAGCAACAAATTAAGTAATCTAGACCCACGGTTCCTAGACTTACTACGGTTGCCTCTTCCGCCTAACCAATGAACATTAAGCCGGATTGTACTCCTGTGACGTAATTTGAATCTTAACATTCAGCCCTGTGATTGGATGGATGTATCAAAACAAAAATGTTTTATAAATAAAGTACTGTGTTTAGGTTGATTTCATGTAATCAAATGAACTATTTTACAATAAAGGCAAGTTAAAGTTATTTATTTATGTTAATATACAATGAAGTACTTACATATAAAAAAAAGAGGTTAATCTTTGTAAATGGGTATATTTATTTAAAAAACCCTTAAAAGGGCCACATCAATAGAACAAACGTTTTCGGACTACACAGTCCATCATCAGGTTATTAAAATCGAAAATGCTAGGTCATAATGCCTGAGCCACCAAAAATATGAGGGTAAAAACCCTTTAAATTACATTTAGTTATGAAATGTTGTACATTGTGTTATAAAATAACTGTGATGTTCTATATTAAATTAAATTTGACCAAAGGTAACACATGGCTCAAATGGGTTCCAGAGCCGGGCGAGAGACAACCTCTGCACTCGGAGAACAACGTGGAACTATAGAACGTTTGTTCTATTGATGTGGCCCTTTTAAGGGTTTTTTAAATAAATATACCCATTTACAAAGATTAACCTCTTTTTGTTATACGTGGTATACAGCCAGCTACAGGAATTTTTCCTTGTGGATTTTACTTACATATGTCAAAAAATAGTATAAACTAAAAATTAACATATTAAAAACATAAGATATAATAATGCATATATATACCTTAAGGCAAACATTACACAGAATATTATATTCTGGGTTCCCAGGTATACACGAAATAGGATTCATCATCATCAATACACAAGCCAGTTCGAAAAATTAAAGTTAAAATTTAGGAATTCATCAATTGAAAACTGCTTCCCCTTCAACCAATGGACTCTTTGCTTCACCACAATACTCAAAGATATTATTAAGGTTAATTTCCATTATTAAATGATACAAATAACTCGTCTTAAACCAAACTAAACATGGAAAAGCAATGGTAAATATTCGAATGTTATGTTTGTTTTTGTTTATACCATTTATATCGGCCATGACACTGCAATCGACCTGCCCTCTACATTCAGTTTCAATCGCGAATAAATGGGTTTTGTACTCTTGTGTACTCCTGTGACGTAAGTCAAGCATCCCCACCCCAGTCGGAAGAGGCAACCGTAGTAAGTCTACGAACCGTGATCTAGACCTACTACGGCTCATTCGATTCGTAATTTTATAGGTTTGAATGTCATATATTTGAAATAAATAAAAAAGCAACTTTGCAATAAATATTATGTTTTTTTAATTTTGACGTTCATTCGTCATTTTTGCAATAACAAATATATTAAATTAAACGCATACAGGCTTAAATTGAAGGTCCTTTAGAGTACTTTCATAATCTATACAGAATTTACCTATTACAATACTTACTTTAGACAAAAAATGAAAAAATACTCAAAAAATACGAATTTTGCACCCATATAAACGCCCATAAATAAACAATAACTAAAAATTTTTTGTTTAATGAATTGGGGGATTGCTCCTGAGGTTGCCCTTTATAATCTAGGCCACATTATATAAATTTCTGGATTAGAGAGTGTTTTCCCCCACAGCCGGGGCTATTTTTCAATTGTTTTTTACGTGTACCATCATCTTGATACTCAATCTAAGCCTATTCATTTCTTTTTTTTTTATAGTACTCTATGTTTGTTTGATCTTATTTTTAATTTTTCTTTTCTGATTTGTTAATTTACTTTACGATTTAAATCTTATCCAATTCCAATTCAACTCAGTTTTTCTTCGTTATCAATAACATTTCCAATCAATTTGTTTATAGTTTAATTTTCAGTATTTTGTAAAATACAAATGTTACTTAATTATTATGTTGTTTTATTTTAGGAAATTTCATACATTTCGAAGATGTCAAATTCTTCGATGTGACAAATCAAAATATATGGTCAGAAAGTGAGTGAAAATAAAAACTAAATTCCATTTTCTAATGCTATTTTTATGTGTTTGTACTTTTTTACTGTGTCTGTTCCTTGTACATAGTTATGTAACCTGTCTTAAACGTATTATCACAGTATAAAGTTGTTGTCTATACTTTGGTATTATGCTAATGCAAACGATCTGTACCCTTACCTAATCACATTTTTACAGTTTCATTATTTATAAATTAAACTAACGTTTGTAAATATTCATTTCTGTCAAATTGTAGCTTTTTACTTTATACATATATATGTTTCGTCCTACTAGGACTCATCAGTGTTAGAATTTGTTATTCCCCAGGAGTTCGCAGTGAATTATTTCAATACCACAGATTATATGTTCAATACCTTATTCTACAGAACAACAGAAGAACTAAAACTTATACTAAAATCAGATTACAAATGACAGTTGATAATTAGAATCACACACGACATTGTAAAGTAGTGTTGTCAAGCAGTTACAAAATTCCAATAGGTACTCCTTATAATATTCTACAATTCAAATAACAGTCAAAATATCAGCTAAAATTGTCATTTAAAAAATGGTTTTTTATATCTATGTTTTGCTCTTTTGGAATTTTCATTGCCCTTAGACATTAAAATCGTATTTTTATTATCACACTATAAAATGATTTTGACGATTATCTACGTAAAAATTCCCCAATATACCCTTGATATTGATTAAGTCTTAAGCTGTTTGTGCTGCTGCAATGTAGGTACTCAGTTTCATCTGTTCTGTTGATAATGCCACGCAGTTCTGCTTCTTTAAAAATTACAATACTGGTTTACTAGTATATGACACACCAAATCAATCGACGTAAGACGTATAGTACATTATAATGTATATATTATCGTACCATCATATATTGAGATAATATTAAATATAGGAGAAACGAAGGTAATCTAGAATGAACTTAAATAGTGATTAAAGAAATAATTTATAAGTTATATACTAGAGAATATTATAAAAAGTATTGATATGAGGGAACTTTTAAGAAATTAGCATAGTAATAAGTTTAAAAAGTTTTTATTTTGCAATGTATTTGGTTATTTTAATAATTATGATATAAATATATTTGATTACGCCATATATAGGCAACCAAATATACACTGAAGTAATTGGTTGTGGCAACTTTTGTGAATAATTATGGATTTAAAAACTTTGTTTATATAAACGTTGACTAAATATCTACAAATTAAAGGAGGAAAGCAGAGAACACAAAATATTCGCCCATTTAACTTAATTATCCTAGGAATTTTAAATGTCAATGCTCAATAGTGTGAAAGTTTCTTAATTTACTGGAGTAAATTTGCCTGCGGTTGCATCAATTACAAAAAGCATTACAACGCGATAAATTTGAATTGCTCCTCCTAGTTTAAAAATTAGTTATAATCACATTTTATCTCGAATAATCTTATGTTTGTATGGATTTTTTATTATTGTTTTAAATTCTCATGTATTTTCTCTTACAAATCAATTTTCATCTACAACTAACTTAATGTAAGATTATATTATCTATTATTATTTATGTTGCAGACTTAAATGGCTGTTTCAACTGTCAGATAATTATTATCCATCAATTTATATAGGAAATTCATCACTTAGTGCACCTCAAAAAGTACAAATGATCGAGGGAAGAATAGAGGAGTCTCATAGAATAATGAAAAGCCTAAATATTAGGAAAAATATAATCATCTACTTTTGGTATAAATATCAAGATACAAATAAATTTCTAAACAAGGTAAGCTAATATTATACGAGGGTCATTCGTAAAATAAGGTTACCATGAATTTTCAAAATAGGCAGTTTTATTTGTTTTCTTATTGTTATAAATAATTTTAAAACGTACTTTATGTTTCTACACTGTCGCCATTTCTGTACAAACACTTTTGCAAATGAGGGTCCAACTTTTCTATCGTTAGAATTCTACCGCCAATCCTTTGAGGAATCTCGTATCCTTCTTTTTCCTTAACTTCATCATCGGTACTGGAGCGTAAGCCACCCAACTGTTCTTTAATTTTGGGAATAAGTTATAATCACTTGGTGATAGGTCCGGACTGTAGGGGTGGTGGGACACAACAGTGCAGCCAAAATCTCTCAGGAGACATCATGAGGTCGAGCGTTGTCATGGAGAAGTCACATCACTGGACAATCGTTCTCGCCGACGATTCTGGATTGCACATCGTAGTCTTTTCAGAATGCAAAAATTAAATTAACAGTAGGCCCTTCATTACCCAAAAGACGGTTGCAATGACTTTATTTTTATGAATAAATCTTAGTTTGATTCAGATATCCCTTTAATATATTATATTGAAGTGGTTATTAATGTTAGTTTCACAAGAAACCGTTGATTATTCATCGCTCTTGTGTCTTTTTATCCACACTCGTCTTTTCTGTTAATTGGGTGGCCTATTTTTTATAAATATTTTTATAATAAAATAAAACTTACTTTGATATTTATTTTTTAGTCAGATGTGTTCAACATATTTACTGTCCTAGCTAGCGCTAATATTGACGGAGTAATACTATGGGGAAGCAGCAATGATGTAAATACTCGAAGCAAGTGTGTAGAATTATATAATTATATCGATGATATACTAGGTCCAGCTTTAGTTTATAATTTTTCTTAATATTCTTAATGTTAGGTACTACTTCAAAAAGCTACATTACGATGATTTTAAGAAAACTATTGAAGCACTTACTTTTTATAAGTTTGTCCAGACAATTTTATGTTGAATATATAACTCAACAACATATAACTTTTTAATTTTAAAATGATTTCCCAAGTCCGAGAAGAGAAAAAGGCGAAGAAGAAGACGAAAGGTAATGCGAGGAAAATAGGAAGCAAGTAGATTTATTAGCAATAGGTTTATGTACTGAAGGGTGCCAAAAAATGTATAAATTCCGTCCAAACATGTATTACCTCTTATAACTAACGTCATTAATGACACTGAAGTCTAAACTTAACAGTCAGTAACACCGTGGAACTGCAAATAGCTGGCGAAGCACAACAAAGCAACTTAGTTATGGATACCAGGGCATAAAGGAATTCCAGGTAGTGATATTGCTGATATTATTACTAAAGAAGGAGCTAGTATTACTAATAATCACAATACTAACAGAGCTATTTAATAGCCAAATCCCTAAAAACTAGCACGAGAGTCTAGTAATACTTCTACACAAAAAGGGCACAAAAAGTTGACCTAATGATTTATAGACCTACATCGTTGCTCAGTCAAGTATACAAACTGTTTATGAGAATTATTATCAGCCGGATGACTTACAAAATAGATAATTATCAACAGGTAGGTTTGCGGTGGCTTCCTCTAGTCTTAAAAAATGTTGTACTGACAATTTACTATTGAAAATAATCCTGGAAATAAGCCTCTGAGCTCAATTCCTTTTATTATCAATTTCAATAGTTTGCACTTACGATTTGAAGGGTACAGGTCCATAAAGAGTCAAGTCACCAAATGTTTATTTCGTACAAAACGAAGTTTAAATTTTAAAACCAGTTATTGATAAATTATTGATGGTTATCATGAACCCTGTTGATTAGATCAGTGACTTGGGTAATTAATGAGACACACATAAGAAATTAAACTTATATTGATATTATGCAAAATAGAACAAAAGCTTTAATTGGTCAAACCACCAAGCATTATTGGCCTAAAGGGGCAAAGTAAAAAAACAAGTTAAAATGATAAGTAGATAAAAGTTATTAATATAAAATAATTCTAATTCTTGGGCAGGTTTATCATAAAATTGTTTTGCTTCGTCACCACAGAACCGTTTCAGATCTTGTAGGCATTTAAATTGTTAAGCCGAGATTGGTATCAAACTTAAAAATAATGTTGTTTAATAATAGTATTCCAAGATATTAATAATTTTTTATACCTGAATAAGAATACGGAGGAAGTTCAAATTCATTTTGTAGTAGCACAGGTCCCTTTCGCTTATTTTATTTTTCCTTTACTATTGCTGACTCTCATGCTTCATTATAGAACTCACGGTGATATATTAGTCTACGATGTTCTTGACGTATTTCTTCTTTCTCATTTCTTCAAATAATCTGTTTTAGTATTAAAAAAATTCGCCCATGCTCGAAAGTAGGATTGATCTATTTTCACAACGTCAAATGGCGATGGTGTTGCACGAGCAGTTCTAAAAATTTCAACTCAATCTGAAGGAATCTCAGCTCGTTGTTTGGAGTTTATTAAGCCCATATTTTTGTTCGGTTCCATGTAGGAATGCCCACGAATAGGGAAAGTAACTTTAACTTAATCAAGTCTTCGTGTATTGGGAACAATATATTGCAAAAAACGAAACATCGTGAAATTTTTATTTTGTCCCCCACACGAGTTGCAGAATAGGTGATCTTACTTGTATATCGAGAAAATTCCATAGAAAGTAATTCAGCATGGAATGTAAAACACACTTTTTGCTGTACAGAGAATGTGCACATTAAAGACATAGATGTTCAGCTGGCTTTTATAGTAAATATCGTTTGTTGTTATGGTTAGGACACTAAAATTTTTTCCAAAATCGAGACAAATAGCTTCGTGAGTCACAGAAGTTCGACTTCTTTTCTTCGCAGTCCCTTTTCTACTGTAAAATACCTCAGCCTTTCTTTTGTGTACATCATTTTGTATCGTAAGCAATCTTATTTCCTTTTGCAAGCGTTCATTTTGAACATGATCGAAACTGTTTAAAACATCAGACTGAAGAGATTTTATTTTTATAATAAACTTATCACAGGAACTACATATATCGGTTCTGGGATATCCAAAGGTTATGTTAAATTTTGTATTAAAGACTCTTCTGTAAGACTTAGATATTTTCATAGAAGGGTTCAACTCGCAAAACATTTTGAACATTCTTTATATGTTTAAGTCTTCAGTTAAGTGTAATTTTTATTATCATTCACACTGTAGTGGCTTTTCCTGCCTTTAAATGACTTAATATGTTCATATATTGCTGCAAGAACATGGGATTCCAATTTTCTAGGATGGTTTTTATTTGCTCCACTTTTATCTTTAGGGAGATTCCAGTCATTTTTAGTGAATTTTGTAATATCTCTAATATTTTGAAGTGAAAACTTCTTTAGTGACGTTATGCACTTTTTGGATGGGGAAAAAGCATTGAACTCGCGATCGTCACCGCGAGATATATTATGTATTATATATAAATAGTATGTGATGCATGCAACGCATATAAATAGTATATGAGGCACGCAACACGTATACAATATATAGCAATTCTTTTTGGATGGGGGAAAAACCATTGAATTCGCGACCGTCACCGCTACCGCGAGATATATTAGGTATACATATATGTGTATGTATATTGTATATACGGTGGCTCTGCGTGGCTGGCGCACGAGAATTATTCATTTCTTACTTCAGCTACCATAAACCTATTATATAAGTTTTAGAAATTAGCGATGGTAATGACGATGGTGAAAGAGTTGCTGAAATTACGGATAAAATTTAATTTTCTGAAGTGTAAACTAATTGTAATGTAAATGTATAAATATATAAATGTAAATGTTAAACAATTGTAATAATTGTATATGATGGCGCAATCAATGAATATTACATTTTACCATATAAATGATAGTACTTTCTGATACATAAAACGATTCGAGAGAAATTGTCCTCTAAATCAAAAAAATTCAATAATACACAACGTATTCAATGTAAAAATACTGATATTAATTTTATATAATTTCATTAATAATAATAAATATTTACATGTAAGTAGTAGAAACATTAATTATCTAAATATACATTCATTGTCCAACGTCACTAAAGAAGTTTTCACTTCTGTCGGCACTCCCCCAGTGCCAATTTTTTTCTTTGTTCCATGAACAGATATTAAAGCTTGTCTACAAATATTTATTTCTTTTAAGCTATTATCAGTGCTAAAAAATACCCTGTAAGAATATGTAGCACTTTTCAAATTTGCTTCGTTTTCATCTTTCCTAGGCCTTCTTCGGCGAATAGGGAGTACTGTAATCAATTCACATTAGTACGAGTTCTGCTCATTAATAGAAATAATTGTGTTAAAAGTCTTGAGTAGTTTTTTTTTGTTTCTTCAGGCACATTTTAAAAACATTGTTTACGACAATTACAGTTTGCACCTACCTCGTAACTCTACAGTCAAATTTTTTTCATATCTCTCATTTTGCCGTGCTTTTTTTTATTCATTCTATCTAGGCACTGCTTCAGTCTCATTTCCACTATTGTTTTCTATATTCATTGTTATTTACTTCAAATCACTCAGCTGCGCGTATTAGATCAACGTCTATCAGCTGTTTATATGGACTTTGACCTGTCTGATGAGGACTTACCCCTATTGGCGGTATATAAGTAAATTATAACGAGCATTTCACGGGAACTAGGTCCTTTAGTACGTGTAACAAGCCGCTGACCACTTCTATGTTAAAATTGCTACAAGATGGCACCACTAGATCGATTTATAAAAACTCGTGACTTGCCTTGCCTCCTTTTGGACCTGCATCCTTTTCTTAAGATTTGGTCAAAATACTCACGTTAAATTTTTAACAGTAACTAAAACTATAAGTTTTTTATTTATTCCTAGAACAATAATACTCGTTTTCAGTGTGGTCCTGTTTTATTTTACTTCTTCATGGGTTGTTTTTAATTTGAGAATTTGTTGTGCAAATCGATTGCAGCAATTACTATTCTAATATTTATTTTATATAAGAAAACACTGCTTTGTAACTAGAAAAATGTTTAATATTTACCTTTTTTACAAACCTGTTATGTACAAATTGATAATAAATATTTTACAAATATAACTAGTAAAATTTATAGAGAAATTACCTATAAAAATGGTTATGAAAGTAAAGAATTCTGAATGTCACCTTTTTTTTAATTTGCGAAAGAAAATATTTAAAGGAAAGCTGGGAAATCCCTACAGGAAAATAAAAATAGATTTGGAGAATCGGGTGTTTCAGTTTTCTTTAAAAAGATTGCTAATAGTACAAGATGCTGTTTGGTTGTAATAAAAAATTACGTCCAGGCCTGATCATAACATAAATAAAAGTAGACACATTATTTTAATGCCTATCATCTAAAAAAAAAGCGAAATGTGAATGACATGTCGATTTACCCTATTGAGGTGGTTTAATTAGAATAGAAGATTGTAAAATTGATAACCTAGTTCTCAATTGTTTATGGGATTAGATATAGAGGGGCAAAAAAACTGTAGAAAATGTAGATAGATTTATGGATCTTAGACTAAAATGATGATTTTCCTCTAAAAAAGTCTATATAAAGCACTGAATACGAAAATACTGAAAAATGGTTTATAGTGCAGTGTAGGGTTAGGTATGTAATGTAACACCTGATAAAATTCTATAACTTTTTATGAACAAAAATTCGATCAGATTAAATCCTCACTTAAAATCAAAATTTATTCACGATATGCTGATTTCAATCATTACTTTTAACCTCCACTTGTTCATTAATTCCGTGTGACATTCAGGATTTAAACTTCGTAGATTAAAAACGAACATTTCTTGCTGTTGTTCTCCAAGTCATCTATTTGATTTATTGCATAACATGATCAATCGTTGTACAAAATCATTTCGATGTCATGATGAACTATCAGAGCTGTTGGAACTTTCTGATTCAGACTTCTTATGACGTTTTTTCGATTTCTTTTTTGATTTTGATTCGTAGCGACTCTTTGAGTGTTTTCTGAAACAAAAAGGATATGAGTAAAAACATCAATAGATGAAGGAAGACGACAGAATACAACATAATGTAAGTTTAGGTCCACAGCATTTAGCGTTTTGGTGAAAACCATGCGGGACTTATTGCACAACCAACTTTAATGGTTTGTAAATACACTACTATACATAAACCTAGACAGCGATAAAGAAGAATTCTATGATGAGCTACAAACATTAGTGGAAAGAGAAGTGAAGCAAACTGAATTACTTATAATATTGCGAGATTTCAATGCCAGAATAGGAGACGAAATAATACCAGTAATAAAACAAAGGTTTAACGAAAGAGTTATCAATGAAAACGTAAAGAGAATGGTGGAATTCTGCACATCAAACGAACTGAGAATAACCAATACATTTTTTGATCATAAAATTCAAACAGAAATATTCACCATAAACAGATAGTGGTTGTGAGAAGTTTGACGTCACCCAATGTGGGAAGCGATCACTATTTGATACTTGGTAAAATTAGATTCAATGAAAGATGGAAAGGGAAGCTTAAACAAACTAATTCAGAGGAAATAATAAAAATAGAAAATTTAAGAGATGACTCCATAAAATCATTATACCAAAAAAGACTAGAACAGAAAGTACAAATGGAGAATATCGAAAATGAAAGCAATGTAGAGACTAGCTGGAGAACACTTAACAAAAATATTCTGGATGTTGCCGGAGAAGCCCTTGGAACAAAAATAATAAACAAAAAGTGGTCAACGAACACCATGGTTACACTAGAGGTTAAACAAAAATGTCACCAAAAAAAGAAAGCTTTAATGCGTAAGTCCCAATTCTTAAATTATCAAACAAATTTAAATATTTACCTTTTATGGGATTTTTTCCTCTTTTTCTTCCTCTTTTTGTTTTCGTCTTCCTCGTCATCACTATCACTTCGCCTTTTATCCCGGTTTTTATGTTTCTTCTTTTCTTTTTTGTGATCTCTATCTCTAGACCTCGATCTACTTTCATCCCTATCTTTGTTCTTATCCTTCTTGTGCTTCTTTTTCTTGGGCGGAGAATCTTCAGAATCCAACTCTATCACTTCTATACAGTCAGAATCCCTACGCAGCGGGGATTTTTCTTTCTCTATTCTCTCGGGAGTTTTCTCGCCGGGGTGGTGATTCGTTTCTGCCGACTTAAGTTTTAAAAAGGCAGCAGCCTTTTTCTTTCGTTCCAGCTGAAGAGCTTTATCTTTTGTCGCAGCAACAGACAATTTGTCTCTGACCGCTGCTAATTTGTCCTTGGTCTTATCTTCAGCTAAAAACAGTTCAAAATTTAAACAAGATATATTTAAAGAGATTTAAATATTAAAATTTCAACGCATGCGATAAATAGTATTGCCACAGAATAATAAACAATCAGAATGTCCACTCTCAGATGCCGCCTTTGAAGTTTTTCAGCACGCGCGCCATTTTTTAGAAGGAAACACATAACACAGACATATGATTTGTGAGGTTATGTCATTGTTTATATTTATGTTTAATTATATTATATTTATGTTTCTGTATTTAACAATATTAATATAATTGTATAGTATGTTTATGATTGCCGTAACTCAATTAAACCGGGTTAATTTTTCTATGCACACCACATAAACAACACTGGTTCTCTCTAAAACATGGCGGAACGTCTGCGCAAAGGAGATGCGCGTACTTAATTTTCCATGGAGAGTGGGCATCCTGATTGTTTATTATTCTGTGGTATTGTCTACCACAATTGGTAAAAAGTTGATTTTGTCAATATGCAGATATGGTTAAATCAGGAACTAACAGTAAATTAGAACATGACATTGATGATTAGACTTCGGCAAATATGCATATTGCATATTTTGCATATTGTGCATATTTTATGCAAATATTTCATATTTTGGCATATTTGTATAAAAGTTTGCATAAAGTGCATAAAAGTTCAGATTTTTATACTGTATTCGAAAATTTTTAAACATACCAATTTATTTCAATTCTTGTATAAAATTTTGTAGTCATTTTAATCAAGAAATGATCTAAGTACGTAATCTCTACAGGTACAAAACATTTACAATTTCAAAGAAAATCAATTTAAGTAGCCCTCAACATTCTTAGAAAGTCTCGGTCACTGAGGCATTCAGTTATTGGATAATCGCTAAGGTTTCGCTCATTTGCATTTTATGATCTAATCCCCAAATCTATCTACAATTTATTGTATCTTAACAGCAGGTAAACGGCTAATAGTTTTGTTCGTAATTTAGGGATTTTCCAAAATCTTCCAGTTTATTGAATTAGGTACCTAAACATTTCTAATTTGATGCTCAGATTTGTAAATCATTTTTGTTTTGATATTCAAAGCGTAAACACTCGTTGTGCGTAACAAAAAGGAAGATTGTGATTTTATAATGCCTAAAACAACCAGTGCTTCAACTTGGATTAAACCTTATAAAGAGCTGTCTATGGATATGGGAAAAATCTACTGTTCAGTCTGTTGCAAAATTGTAAGTATCTAATATTTTCTATTAAATATCTAATATTTCATACATACAGGGTGTTTCCAAATGGCATTTACAACGTTTGACTGTAGATACTTCTTGAAAAATTGAACAAAACGATATAGTTAATGAGGGGTCAAACTTATTTACTTTTCGAGATACAGGGTGTTAAAATTAAAAAAAAATTAAATTCTTTTAGTTAATAACAACAATAACTTTAAAACCAATAAACGTATTTACTTGAAATTTAGTACTCGTAGGTTGTTTTTAAATGAAAAATAGCTTCCTTTAGTGAGAAAAAATTGTCCATGGTACAATACAATGGTTTGTATTTAGAAAAATATTTCACCTTTACTTTTTTTTATGAAGTCAGCTATTCTGAAACACAATTATTTTTATTGTAATTGAATTAACAAAAAAAAAACTTTTGTTGAATTTTAAAATAGGTTATATGATGTATTAATGGTTAGTAACAAAAACTAATTTGTGGATTAATACTGCATTTAAAACACTTAGCGAGTGTTTTTTTTTCCAAACCATTTATTTGATTAACCAAAAACACCTTGTATATTTTTATATTTTAAAGGTTGGGTTAAAATAAAGGTTTTTATTTTTATTTATAGATAGCATATGAGAAGAAATTTCAGATAGACCAACATGTGAGAACTGCTTCACACATTGCAAAAAAAGGAAAAATAGGAGGAAAACATCAAACTTCAATGGCAAAATTTTTCCAATCTACTTCAAAAAAATTAGATGAGCAAGAAACTTTTAATGAAGACTTGTGTCACGCATTAGTGTCTGCAAATATACCGCTTTCAAAATTAGCAAATGTAAATTTTAGTTCGTTTCTAAAAACATATTGCAAACTTAATGTTCCAAGTGATCGGTCTCTAAGAAGAAATAATGTGAACGGGCTATACTCGTCGGTGTTAATTAATATTAAGGAAGAAATTGCAGATAATTATTTTTACATATCTGTAGACGAAACCACTGATTCCTCAGGAAAGTATATTGCTCATTTATTGATTGGTGTTCTTAAAGAAGATACCTTAACAAAATCTCATCTTATTTCATGCCAGCAACTTGAGAAAACAAATGCTTTAACAATTTCGCGTTTTATACAAGAAACATTAGCAACTTTTTTTCTTCCGACAACTATTCCTTCTAATAAATTACTGCTTATTTTATCGGATGCTGCTCCTTATATGGTGAAAGCAGCACAAAATTTAAAAATATTTTTTCCAGATTTAATACATGTTACTTGTGTAGCGCATGAATTAAACAGAGTTGCAGAGGAAATACGAAAAAAGTTTCCTCTTGTAAATACCATGATATCCAGTGTCAAAAAAGTATTTCTTAAATCTCCTATAAGAATTCAACTTTATAAAGAAATGCTACCTAACATTCCTCTTCCACCACAACCTATTTTAACGCGATGGGGAACATGGTTAGAAGCAGCTAATTTTTATGCAGATCATTTTGTTAAAATAAAGAACATAATTGATACGTTAACAGATGAAAGTTCCCAATCTCTTTTGGATTCTAAACAAACTTTTCAGAGTAACTTGCTTCAACAAGAACTTTCATTTATAAAATCAAATTTTAGTTTTGTTCAAAAAACAATTACTCAGTTAGAATCACCAAAACTGTCATTGTTCGAAAGTACAGCATTAATAAAAGAATTTGCGTCATGTTGACGGAACGTTAGAGGTAATATTGGAATATTTTAAAAAAATTTAAAGCTACTATGGAAAAAAATAAAGGTTACCATATTCTTTCTGAAGTAGTCAGTGTTCTAGCTGGAAATATTTCGGAAACAATTAATTTAGAACCAAATGTTTTGGTTAGTTTGAAAAATGCTCCCGTTACATCAGTTGATGTTGAACGAAGTTTTTCCATATATAAATATATGTACTCAGACAGAAGCCACAAGTTTTTGTTAGAAAATTTTGAACACCACTTGGTCATTTATTGTTACCATAATTCTAAATAAGTTTATTCATACTTAAAAATGATGTAGTTACTTAAAATAAATGTAAATATTAATGAATATTAGGAAATATTTAGTTATGTACACTTTTTTTTAAATAAAATTGTTACTATTTTACGATTTTTTTATTTATTTGTATGCATATTTTGTAAAATATTTGCATATTTTCGGGTAAACACGTGCATATTAACATCCTTAACAGATAAATATTTTCGATTATAAATAAATTATCCGTTTAGAGAAGATGACGTAATGGGAATCTGCGAGATGGGATGGCCAGTCTCGGGACATTGCTGTGTGGATGAGCATATAGTATATTAAGCGGGAAAGATAAACCACGTCACGGGAATGGCGTAGCGGTGATTCTGAGCAAAGAAGTCGCTGGGGCTGTGATCAGCGTGTTACCCCTCTCTGATAGAGTCATTCTGATGAAGCTGCAAAGCAGACCCGTTAATATGAACATCATTCAAATTTACGTTCTAAGATCAGAAAAACCAGAAGAGAATATCGTGGCGTTCTACGCACTTGTACAAAAAACATTAAAATTTACCAAGAAAATCGAGTTTACCATCATCATGGGTGATTGTGAAGACATCGTCGGACAACACGGCTTAGGCGAGAAAAACGAAAGGGGAGACCGAATTAGCCGATTTTGTTGGGAAGAAGATTTTACCATTGCTAACACCTGGTTGAGATTTCCCCCGAGACGACTTTATACGTGGAAGTCACCTGCAGATACAGCCAACAATATCATCAGAAACCAGATAGACTTTATTCTCATTAACAAAATATTCAAGAACAGCTTGACTTCGGCGAAGATCTTCCCAGGAGCAGATGTCTCATAGGACCACAACCCATTAGTGGGCTAGATAGAACTCAAACTAAAGAAACTCATCAAAAGTAAACCTAAACAGAACCTGGATTATGACACTTTAAAAGACCCCGTAGTTAGAAACTAGAAACCTCTAAACAACAAGAACAGAGTGTAGAACATATCGACGTCATGCTAAATGTTTAAAAAGACGTCTGCTAAACATCTGGGAAAGAAAACAAGAGTAAAAAATAAAGAATGGATGGAAGAAGGTGTGTGTGAGACAATTTTCAAAAAAATTGTGCGGAAAGACTTCAAAAAACAATTTTTCCCTCACTTTACATCACAATACCACACAGCCTTACCACACTGAATTTACCGGTTCTAGTTCGATCACCGAAGCCAAGCAGTGTCGGTTGCAGTTGGTTCACCCCAAACATTTTTTTTTATTTTTTAAAGAATTTTTTAAATTTTTATGTTTTTATGATGTTAATTTTCACCCTTCGACCACCAACTCCTATTTTTTAAAAGTGAAATTAGTGTGGCAAATTTAGTAGTGTCACAGTTTTAATTGCCACACTTATTCGAAACGGCTTGACCGATTTTTATGAAATTTTTTATAGTACTCTGAAATTTCTTTCAGGAAAGATGTTTTCATTAAAAACAGTGGACACAGTTATAAATCAGAACGACGTAGTCAACTATCCTACAGACTTTGACCTTGTGAGTTAAAATCGGTCCACTGGGCTCAGAGCTTTAAGCTTAAAAATAGCTTTAAGCTACTAAAGAAGAATTAAAAAATATAAGAAAAAATGCGTGATACAAGAGACGTAAAAGGAACTTACCTTTTTTAGCACCTTGCTTTTCTACACCATCCAGAAATTCCATCATTTCGAAAATGGGATCTTCTTCGTTAACATTAACAATTTTCTTTCCTATTTCCTTTGGGTTCTTCACTTCTTCAGTAAGTTTAAGTTTAGCTTCTTCATTTTGCGAAACGGTCTCTTGAACTTCTGCAGGTGGAATCACCGGTTTCTGTACATCACCAATCCTCCACAAAATATTTTTCAATAAATGAGGCGCTGCAGGCGTGGGAGATTTTTGTGATTCCGTATTCTCAGCTGGTGCCACCTGTTCCTCTTCATCACTACTTTCCTCGACAGGTAAAGCACTTTTTATTTCTTTGGGGAGTTCTTCTTTGGCTTTTTTAATAGAAAAGCTTACAGGTGCTAAAAATTATTTAGTTAGTTACAATCATACAGCCGTATCGTGGCAGAAATATCAAAGGCGATATTGCAAGAATCATAACTGTCCTCAGCTCAACAATAATCTACACTGTTTTTTTTTTAATAAAATGAGTACATTTTTTAAACTTAAGGTAAACCCAGGAAGTGTGATTGTGGTGCAAGTGTTAGTATATTATATAAAATTTTCTACAATTTAGGAATGCCAGCGGCATCTTGTGAGTAGAAACTTAAATTCTTGCAACCAAATATACCCAAGATGATTTAAACCACGCAGTGTCAGACATAAAAAGTGGGGTTTGTTCGAGATACCGGGCACATAAATTGTATAATATATATTCCTAAAACAACATTATTTTACCATGTGACTGGTGCTCGAGGAGTTAAAAGCAAATCGCAAGGTAGGGCTCCAACGATTCCACTCCAAGATGAGACTACATTGGCCCAAGGACTAAAAACTATGGAGCAGTGGAGATTTGGAATATCCAGATTGGAACTACTATAGTTTATTTTTATGAACGAGAGAGTAATTAGCATAATTTTAACTGGTACCTTCGACCACTCCATGGGCGTGCTCAAGATTAATTGAAAAATTACTTTGAATAATTGTAAAAAATAAATGAATTATTTCAGTGTTATAAAGTGTTATGTGTATGTAAACAAAAGTGACCTCTTTTATCACACACTATATTAGAACTGACTGGCCTACATTAAAAAGGGTTTTAAAAAATTCACATTTTTTTTAATTTTTAAAAATTACAAAAGAGAAAAAGAGTTTTTAAAACCGTCTAAGGTATGTTAAATAGATGAATAAAAATATTAATATAAAACTTACAGCTACTTGTTACAAATCCAAATCAGATTCAGAAGATGAACTTTCAGAACCAAGATTTATAATAACTGGTTCGATCATTTTATCAGTAATATTGTCCAGCTTCCACATTTTTTCCTCTTCTTTAATAGTGTGATTTACTGCCTTTTCCCAGTTTTCAGGTTTTACATTATTTACGGCCTCCAAAAACAACTGTTTAACATCATGAATTTTAAAAGTGGTATTTTTTCTTGAAACTTCACTCTTTATCTGTGCCCATACCAGTTCAATCGGGTTTAATTCACAATGATATGGTGGGGATCTAAGTACTGTCATTCCACGATTTTTGGCAATTTCATCAATTTCGTATTTTTTTAATTTTTCTTTATGAAGGGCACACAACGAATAAAGTTCCTTTCTTATAGATCCGGGATGGTACGTAATATTTTTTAAACTCAGCCAATTCTGCAAGTCTTTTTTTAACCACTTGGTTGTGGGCAGTCCTTCTATAAGTCTGGAATGATAACTTGCATTATCCATTAATATTACACAGTTCTTAGGAAGAAGATCTATCATTTGTTCGAACCATTCTTGAAAGACATCAGCGTTCATCTCTTCATGGTAGTCACCGGTACGAGTTGATTCAAAAGTTAATAAACCACCTTCAACAAAACCGTCTGAACTGCCAATGTGTACTATTATCAGCCTGCGTCCCTTTCCTGATGGTGGGTTTAAACCAGTAGATAAGTTATTTACAAAAGCGTGCCTTTGACTTGAAACAGTTTCATCCTGCCAAAATTTATTTGGTGTATGACCCTCGTTGATCCATGTTTCATTAAGATAAAATATTTTTCTTTTTTGGTTTCTGATTTCCTTTATGGTTCTTAGAAAATGTCTTCTCCATATGACAATATCGCTTCTTTCTAATAAAATAGACTTTCTGGGATTCTTTTTCCAGCGGAAGCCTATTTCTTTTAAAAGTTTCCATAACGTACTTCGACTCATTTCTGGGTAATCCTTATCATCTCGAAGTGAGACAAGAACTTTATCCAATGTTGTAAATTCTTGTCTAAAGAAGAATTCATGCACTTCTTTAAAATGATATTCTATTTGAAATTTTGGTTTCCCTGGAGCATTACGTGGCATTTGAAAACTACCACATTTCTCTTCTTTAATAACTCTGTAAATCGTAGATTTCCCAACACCAAGTGTACTGCTAACTAACTCAACGGTCTCATCAACACTTTCACATAAACGTTTGTCTGTAAATGATTTAAAACAATTAAATATTAATGTTTTTTCATTAACTGTTAAAGGACCAATTTTTCGGCGTTTACACGGCACTTTCAAATTTTCCATAACACTAGTATACACAATAAACTGCACCTTGCAACTGAAGTACCTACTTTTAGTGAACTGTTAAGAATTTTGAATATGCCACTTGGACCTTCCTACAAAATGGAAAAACCCACTATCACATTTTCTGTGGAATAAGTTTAGAAGGTAATTATCTAGTCAATTACTGTCGTAGATTCCTGGAATTAAAGAATTAAATGTTTGATTGTTGAAACCCTTACTTCGTGGAATGCACTCATTTCAGATAAAATAAAACGATTTATTTTATCTAAAGAATTAAACTTTATTTTGCAAATAGGTAGGTACTTATTAAACTTTTATTGGTTATATATAATCAATAAAATAAACATCTTACATTTCTTGCAAATTCATTAGTACCTGTTAACCTCCATCACTCCGACACTGGCAACCTTATTTAGGGATTAGTAACCCTCACAACTATTGTATTCTATTCTGCTCCAACCTTTATACCTGGTGGTCATACTCAATTTAAAATTGTTTTCCTATATACTTCTGTAAACTTGTTGACAAATATCTGTTTTTCATTGAGTCACCCGTATTAACAGTTTAGGGATTTGCATACATAATTTATTGTTTTATTACTCTCTCATACATAAAAATACACTATAGAGATTGTTCGCGAATTTGTTACCAAAAACGGCATAAAAACTCCATTTAAGGATAACACTCCTGGGGATGAATGATTCGGGAGTTTTAAAAGATGTCACCAACTTAGCATAAAAAACCCCAAGCTGTAGAGTACTCAAGAAAAAAAATGACAGATCCTTTCATCATCCAAGAATATTTTGATATTCTCCAAACCTGACCATGGCCCAAAAAAACCAAAGTCGTGAGAGCTAAAGGTAAACCAAGTTCCAGAACTACTTCCGGTCCAGGAAGAAAAAAAAAACGGTTTTTTTCAGCAGTGTCTGCATCAAGGAAGAAGGCACCACCACTAATCGTATTCATGGGAAAAAATATTTGGATTTCTGGAAGATTAAAAAACGAGAAGAAACTTTTAGTAGCTCAGAATCGGAAGAAGATTTGGTAGAATATGTTGAATAATCAATCAAAAGACTGATATTTTTTGTACAAACTTATGACAAGTCAAAAGAAAATGTATAAAGTATTTTTGAAGTGTGTATATTTTAAGCAATTCCTAGCTGAGCGCTTTCGGCTTTACAAAGCCATCATCAGAGCTATGCTACAATAAAATGTTCTTATAAGTACTAATTGGTGAAGATTATAATTTTTAACTTACGTCAATTTATGAATACCACTACAATGGAGAGATCTCATTTCCTTATATGTCGAAATTATGATTTTTTAGTTGTTGAAATTCTTAAAAAACATAAAAAACCGACACTAGACTTCACAGACACGTTAAAAAAATTGAAAAAATTTTTTGTCATGGTGCGGGTGTAAGAACCCGACCATTGATTGATGTGAGGAGGTAGACAGAATAGAACTAATGAAATCAAATGTCGGTCCTTTTAAACGATTTTTCAAAAGTGACAGTTGACATATGTCATATATAGGAAATAGAGATTGTTTTTTAAATTCTTACAAAATTATTTAATAGTTTGGAATTACTAATAGTCATCAAAGACTTTCTAAAAATTAAGTTTTTAAATTAAATTTTATGTGTTCATCACATCATACAGAATGACATTAGTTTGTAAATTCAGTCAAGTCATTGCTCAAGGTCAATGTATGTTCAATCTGACAGCCATCCTTAAGAAACAAGGGCTCAAATTGTTGAAGATCTTGAGAGATCCAAAGAAATGAAACTAAACCCTGATTGTTGCTTAAACACACAAATCAACCTCAATTGCAATTATAAACCTCTTTTTAAATTATTATGGGAGACTTTAGAGGAAGAAGGGTGACCTCATGCAATCTTATTATATTTTTTCATAATTTTATATTTTTAAACAAAAATTTTAAACTTTATTAGAAATTTACAACATTTTGTAATTCATTTGACAGTTATTCTTAATTGAAACATGAAAATATATTCTTAAAAAATTTTTTATGCAAATTTCTTACAAATTTCCATCAAGAGATACAATTCTCAATACACTTAAGTATCAGATAATGTAACATTAATACCATGTTTCTTCTTTATATTATTGTGGAACAATTTGAGCCCTTGTTTCTTAAGGATGGCTGTCAGATTGAACATACATTGACCTTGAGCAATGACTTGAGTGAATTTACAAACTAATGTCATTCTGTATGATGTGATGAACACATAAAATTTAATTTAAAAACTTAATTTTTAGAAAGTCTTTGATGACTATTAGTAATTCCAAACTATTAAATAATTTTGTAAGAATTTAAAAAACAATCTCTATTTCCTATATATGACATTTGTCAACTGTCACTTTTGAAAAATCGTTTAAAAGGACCGACATTTGATTTCATTAGTTCTATTCTGTCTACCTCCTCACATCAATCAATGGTCGGGTTCTTACACCCGCACCATGACAAAAAAATTTTTCAATTTTTTTAACGTGTCTGTGAAGTCTAGTGTCGGTTTTTTATATGTTTTTTATAATATGTTTTTTAAGAATTTCAACAACTAAAAAATCATAATTTCGACATATAAGGAAATGAGATCTCTCCATTGTAGTGGTATTTATAAATTGACGTAAGTTAAAAATTATAATCTTCACCAATTAGTACTTATAAGAACATTTTATTGTAGCATAGCTCTGATGATGGCTTTGTAAAGCCGAAAGCGCTCAGCTAGGAATTGCTTAAAATATACACACTTCAAAAATACTTTCTACATTTTCTTTTGACAGAATATGTTGACTCTGAATATGATTTAGATCCTAAAATATTTGAGGAAAACGAGCAAATAATTGAGAAAGAAGTGCCAACAGTTGGAGAGTTAGGAAAGACACAAATCGCGCTGGGTATTTGGGTTGTTGTAGAGTACGCATCTAAAATACATATTAAACATTTGTATTGGAGCATTGATAACAAGATTGAAAATGAATGGAAAATTTGCTTTTTAAGATATAAAAAGAGAAGTAACACCTTTTTTGGCCTGATATAGAAGACACGGATATGATAGTTGAAGATGATACCGTCAAAACTTTACCCGTTTAAGACAGAAGGGATACTTAAAAAAAATTAACATAATTTCCACATTTGATGTTACAAACGTGCCCAAATCTAAGTATATGTAGTAAAGTCCGTAAGCATTCTAGGAAAAAAATATCATAATTTAAAACATCTCTAAATCATACAAAATATGTTGTAAAAATCATTTAATTGAAACTAATTGAAAACTAGTTCACACTTCGATGGGTCCACCTTACTTTAATTCCTCATAGAAGAACAAATACAATTAGACAAATACAGTATTTTTTTAATGAATATGATTAAACTCACCTATAACTTTCCTTTCCTTTTTTTCTTTTGGCGGCTTCTTCACCTCTTTTTCTTTATTGCTTTCTTGTTTTTCTTGTCCGTTTTTATTGTTTTCGTCCATAAACCGCTTAAGAGTTTCCTTATAATACTTATAAAACTTATGGCTTGGTTGTAAAAACTCAAATCTCGAATCATTTTTAGCATTAACAATATCTTCAAATTGTTCACCATTTTTGGAAACGTACAGCGCCATCTTGTCTATGACAATTTTGGTTTCATCAGTTGGTGCTGCTGCGGATTCAATTTTCGTAACAGTTCGTACTTCTCTGTCGTCGCTTTCTGTGCTATCATCGGAATCACTGTCTGAGCCGGATCCATAGGCAGCGAGGGAAAGGAGAGGTTTATTTTCTATTTTCTTTCGTTCACCAACAATTGTGACTGTTCTTTCATCTTCTTGGTTTTTAATCGTTTCCGGTAACTGAGGTAGTTGAGGTACATTTGCTATGTAGGGATTTGTTTCCTTGTTTACATTTGATACGATTTGTGCGTATGAATTGTTTGATTGTTGAAACTGTTGCAGGTACTGTGAGTACGCCATTTGTTGGATATAATGTTGTAGAGTCGGATCCAAGCTTTGGAAATCTGCCGGCGGTACGAATTGACCTTTAAAAAATATATATTACAAATAGGTAAAGAAATAAAAAATTATAAATAACTTTCAATAACACAATAATATATTACACCACTTGCATTTAACAAACAATCTCACACACATCTTAAATTCATTGGATCAAATCTACCTCCTCAAGAACTCCCCGTTTACTGTCAAACAACTGCAATAATAGTATTGAGTTCTCCATTCAACAATATACAGTAGTTTTAAACATGTTCTACCATCCATCTATTAATAGAGTACCGGCATGTAAGTAATTTTATTTTATTTCATTTATTTATTTGCTCATTCATTAATTTATTCCAATAGAAGAGATTTTATGACAACTTGTGGGCCTTACCTTGTCCTTTTAACTTTTTTAAAAATATTTATACCTTTTTCAATTCAATCATTTGAATAAAACCACAGACAGGTAATATTGGCATAATTATTGTAATTTATAACATCTAATGTTTTATCTTTATTAGACAACACCCTAATATGGGTTTTTATCATTTCAGCATTTGTTTAACTTTGTACCGAGACCTGAAGATGCTTTGCATATTGTAGAAAGCGAAACCGGTCGTCGGATAGTTAAATTAAATTGATTGTGAGTAAGTCTGATTTATTATTTCTTTACCTATTTGAAATGGACTCACACAAGCAACAAATTCATGATTTGATATATATTACATTTATGATAACCAAACTAAGTGTATAAAATTTTGTTTAATGTTTATGTTGACTTTTTTACCATTTTTGGAAACCATACATCATACATTATGCACAGAATATGAAAAGCTGTTTAACATTATAATTAAATATAAAAAATAGCAGAAGAATTAAAAAAAGAAAAAAGATTAAATCAATGTCTTTAACTATGTAATATTGTAGCATTTGCAATTTCATTGATTCTTTGGTATATATTGTAATCCCCCGTATATGTAATATATTGAAATCCCCTCATATATGTTTAAAAAATCGAAGAGTATTTTTAATGCATTTCAGTTTCCTATCTTACAAGTTGAAATACATAAAAAGTATTTTCAATTCCTTCTTAGGTGGGCTCGAGTTAATGTAAACCATTTTATTGTCTGTCTATGTCACAGGCGCAAATTCTTCGATATTTTTATTTGATCGTTAAACCGCCCGATATTGCGTTTTCAAATTAATATTAATTACGTCTTAATTTCCGTTGTGCTTTGTTTATTCCAACTTGTGCGATCAATTTCATCACTCTCGTTGGAGCCGCGGTGAAGAGCGGTGGTCTTGAACGTTTATGTCCAAATTTTACTTCAAATTTGAAATGTTCCTCATTGTTAGTCTTTTTTGATGAAGAATATGTAAAATATAGTAGCAGTTTAATGGTTCAGTTACAGTTTTAAGTGAGTTTTGAAATGTTGCCATTGTATCCAGTTGTACCTATTCCTGTTATTGAGAAGCCAAGTCCAGTTTAGTTTCCAAGGGTTGTGTTCCACTGACCCAATTTCCTTTTTGTTCGTGTGTCAGAGATTCCCAGCCATTGTTGAGTTTTAAGAAGTCAAGTTTACAGCTCAAGTGTAATTTTTGTGTAACTCAGGTAACTTTTTTTGTGATCAAATTTTAAAGTAAAGACAAAAATTTTTTTTATTAACAATAATTGCTTTCGTAACAATTTAAATTTTTGTTTTTTTTTTTAATTGTAAATTTTAGGTTTTAACTTTAACTGTTATTTTAATTGTTGTTTTAAATTTAATGTTAATTTATGACAGCTCGTTTTAGTATTTTTGATATTGATTTGTTTTTTGTTTTTTTTAAAGGCATGCAATTTTGTAAGTTTTGTAGCAACAGAATTTGTAAACAGATGACACATGTAAGTTTTTTTGTATTTTTGTATTTTGCGACTATTTGAGGTAATATTTTTTTGCATTGTCTTATTTTTGTAACTGTTTGTGGTGACACAACAATAAATGTTAAATTTTTTCTCAACATTTTGTTTATCTTTTTAACTAACCCTTTTTGTGTTTCGTTTAAAAAAGATATATTTTTCATTTTTAATAATTATTTCTCTAGTTACAACTAGCTGTTGTAATGGTTATAATTAGGCACCTCGAAGTGGCGTCCTTTTTAAATTACTAGAGGTGTTTTCTGTTTGTTTTGTTTGCCCCAAGAGATTCATGACCCTTTGTTTCATTTTTGTAGTTGCCCCAATCCAACCCCTTTGCCAAATACTTATCCACGACCCCAGCCCTCCTAACAAAGCCTGAGTGCCGTACGCATCAGCATCGATTATTTTGCTTGCCCTATCTTCACCCTCATAGTTTCTGTCCCCAATGTTCTACCCCATGATCTTACCCTAAGGTAGGCTAAATATTTTCGTTACAATATATCTTATTAAGCACCTAAATAAAATACCTATATATTCTTACTGAAGCAAGAAGTCAACAAAGCCAACCCCAATAAATCGAAGAAGTTTTTTCATATATATAATTTTTCTTTTTTAGGAGACAAATAAATGTTGAGGTCAACCATTTATTGGGTATGTCATCCGACTGATAAATTTCATTAAAGAGCTTTAAGAGGACATCTATGTACTCATTTTCTATTATTTTAAGGATATCAATAGGCAGTTGATCTGGACCCGCTCTTTTTCCGTTTGTGATGTTCTTTAGTGCATACAATATTTCTTCCTTTGTAATTTCCATACTTGTTTCTCTGTCCTCGGAAGATATGTCTTGTAGGTTTCCTCTTTCGTCGTCGAAGAGCTCTTCCATATATTTTTTCCATCGTTTTAGTTTTTCTCAGTCGTGATCATAGTATTTCCATTTTTAACTAAAAGGGTTGTTTTGTGGTTTCTTTTTTGCAGCCCTGCCATTTCTTTAACCTTTTTATGTAGGTTGAGTAGGTCGTATTTGTTCTGAAGATCTTCTATCTCTATATTTTTCCTCATAGTAAGATTGTTTTGCCTCTCTTATCATTTTTCTGATTTCATTCTTAATGAATTTGAAATTGTGACTGTCTTTGTTCTTGGCTTGTCTTCTTTGGTCCATCCTGGTGAGTATTTCGACGGTCATCCAGTTGTCTCTCTTTCTTATCGGTTCTTTTAAAAAGTCTTTGCATGGAACGAGGAGACAGTTTTTTAATGTTTCCCATTGTTGGTTTATCTCGTAGCTATTAGTATCTAATTTATCAAAAGTTTCGTATATTTTCTGTTGGAGTTTGTTTTTTTATATCTATGAAAAGTGTTATGCATAACAATTAGTTTCCAACTATGTAATTTCCAATTTCAATATTTTATTACAACAGAAAAATTTTGAACAAGCAAAATTTTGCAATAATAATACACTTTTTTGAAGTAGTAGTAGTATGTGAAAGAAAATTGAAACAACTAAAGATTCTGATCGTAGGAAAACTTACCTGGATTTCCAGCCTGGCCTTGATAATGTAGCGCCAGCTGTTTGTAGTACTCCAGATACTGTTGGACGTAGTAGTACTGGTAGTATTGTTGCTGCTCATAGGTCATCTGCTCATACTCCGGTATTTTCTGCGTCTCTTGAGTCTCCGCCTGGTTACCCTGGATTCGATTGACCAGTTGACTGTAAGCGCAGTTCACTGACGGCTTGTACGGAATCTGCGGGATCGATATGGCAGTGGTACCCGCCTGTTTGACAATAAATTAAGTTACTTTTGAACGACAACGTAGTGTATGGGATGTATAAGCGATGGTTGGTTTTTTTCTTCAAGGACTTCACGTATATTTATTACCACACATTTAAATTTTACGTAAGTGTTAGCTAGTTAGTTAACACAGGGGAAAAATTAGTAACAAGATATTTTATGTTACTACTTTTAAAAAATATGGGAATCTCAACTAACTTCAGAGAATCTCAACCATCTCTGAGGCACTAACAAGAAGGCCTTAACATCATATAATTTAGTAAAGGGATGCCCTATATAAAACCACACTTAAACAATAGGCATTCACAATGTATTGACAGTAATTTATTAGGAGCAGCATTGTAGTAGTTAAAGATAATGTTGAACAAGTATATCCAGAATCAGGACAATTTGATACACAAACTCACAAGGTATGTATAATATTTGCACAATCCAAAGACGTGCGATCGGCTAAACTTGGCTCAAAGGAGACGACTAGATGATATAAAAACACTAAATTGAACGTACAATTTAATAAGTGGAAATAAAAAAAGTTGGCATGAAACAATGTAACGATATTTTAGAAAAAAAAATTAAAATTGTCACGAAAACCTAGAGTTCTAATCTAGGAAATTATTCTAAAAGAATTAGAGTGTGTTTATCTCCATAGTAGATGTAGCTGACGAAGTGAGGCGCCACTTAAATTTAAGACAACGCCACCTAGTTTTCCATATCTGATATAGTATAATAATGGTAAAAAATAACCAATCAAACTGTATTACACACCACTAACTGCTATGAACTACCGTGAAAGTCATACCAATACCTTTATAATCTCCTAAAGGAAAATAACCTATATAAGACTATTCTAGGTATATAAAGATCATTTAAACACATATTTTTTATGAATTCTTTTATCAAAACTGAGCTACTGTGGCACATTATAAATAATCGTCCATTTTCTGTTTGCCTACTTTAAAAAAATGGCGCACGGATATTATGTAAGCAAATACTTCTTATTTGAGCAACACTCTTTAAGACAAGATATGACCTACATTTCAATGCTAATAACCCTCACTTGTTGAAACAAGTGAGGATTACTACAAAAAATTATGTAATGAACTGTTATTATCACTTCAAATAAGCCATCTGTTTGTCGATAAATGTATAAAGCCTAACCATTCGTTTCTGTTTCGCCTGAAAATAACAAGTGTACAATAGAGCATCAAATTGTTAAATTTCACAAAAAATTTTTTATAATTTATTGAAAGAAATAAATGGAAATGAATGTTTATGGCATGCGCATGTTTTTGTTTGAGTAATTTAGGCATTTTCAACATTTTGTGACTTAAACATTAATTCAGAAATGCCTTGATCACCAGAAAAAAAGATGTCTCTCCTTCCACCATTACCAGAAGGCTTTTGACAGAGTCTAGTATGAATTAACTGTTGAAACCTTAACATATTCCAACCATACTACTAAAAGCATCCATATACAAAGAGATATCTGACAAGGCTGTGTCAATAAAATACAAAGAGGTGTCCCCATTGCTCTTCAACTTCTACTTTGAATGCAAATTCAAACAAGCACTATAGACGACGCCGAAATTGGTACAAAAATAAACGGTAAATGTATTCACAATATCAGGTATGCAGATATATTGTACTGATAGCAGGGAAAATATACTCAACAGAGTTAATAATGCAAATGAAACAATGGGACTAACAATACTTGACTATCTATCAAAGATGTGTGTTATTGTTGGAATTTACCAATAATCCTAGAGCAAATTTTACATAATAATTTCAACAAAACATTCAAAAATCCCGCACATATATTAAGAAGTTTCTAGCTAAGTGACCCATTCCGGTGTTGAAGCATCCACCATATTCGCCGGATCTTGCACCATGCGACTTATCGGTCAAATCTGCATTAAAATTATTTGAAGATTTACAGGTTTACAGAAGAAAGTAAGTTTTACAGTGTCAGTAACATTATTTAAAAGCACACATCGTATTTTGCTGAAAATTGGGCGGAAGTGGATAGAAGAAAAATGAAAAAACAATCGTAGTTCAAAATAATTACATGTAATATCCACAAAACGTTACCATTTGAAGAATTGGAGCAAAATAAGATAGAAGATAACCTACAAAGAAAATTAAATAACAAAAAATACAACTACATATCTACAATCTGGGCCTAAATTAACCGGCTGCCTTAAAAATGGGTAATTTTTGATGTCTTATTTCTGTAGCCCGATTTAAGTGATTCTTTTAATATGTTATAGCCTTATTCCTTGTCAATATAGTTATAATAATATGGTTGCTAAATAGATAAATTTTCATTGTATACCGGTTGTACAAATTAAACTGTGTTTTTTTCTTAAAGTTTGCATCACCCTGTGAAATATTCTAGCATTTATAAAATATTGAAATTAAAACCTAACTATAGCCTCATGTTTTCTCAACATTTTGTTTTTTAAATGATTCGCTTACGTTGAATAATACAAAAGTTAGGTAGTTTAACAACTAGCCATGTTTTTCATCAATACAGACGATGTACTCAATAGCAAAATTAACCCCAGCACCTTTATTATTGTTTTGTTTACATTACCTGTGACAGTTTGTTTCCTGAATTTGAGTCATCGAAGGATTTTTGAAATATAGTCGTTGTACGACATTGTTGCAAATCTGTTTCCGTGTTAATAACAATTCTTGAACAATTTGTAATTAAAATTAAATTTGTAATTAAAATTAACAATTAAAAATTTAATTGATGCTGGTTGCAGTCAACGTCATATCGCTGGTATACTCGATGTACCCAGAACTACGGTACAAGATGCCATCAGACGATTTCGGGAGACAGGATCGTACAACCGCAGGTCAGGTCAAGGCCGAAAGCGATGCACTTCAGTTCGAGATGACCGCTTCATTGTCACTAAAGTATTGAGAAATCGCTTTTGCACCTCTCCTGAAGCTCGTAGGTCTCTTATTGAGGTGAGAAACGTTAGTGTGAGTAGACAAACAGGGCTTTTCATGTTGAGGGCTTTTCGTCCAGCTCACGCACCACAACTGCTCCCACAACGCCTTAGGGCTAGACTTCATTTTGCGCGAGAATATTCTAACTGGACTATGGCGGAATGAAAGAATATACTGTTCTCAGATGAGAGCAGAATAGCCCTAAAAGGACGCCAAAATGTCTATAGGCGTCAAAATGAAAGCTTTTCTGCATGCGCTATAGCCGAAACAGTGGCTTACCGAGGAGGGTCCCAAGTATGCGTGCAAGAAGTTCTCCAAGGCCATGTTATGCCTTTTGCGCCATTCATTGGTGATAACTTCAGACTAATGCATGACAATGCACGTTGCCATATAGCAAGATCTACCCGTGAGTACCTTAATGAGGTCGGGATTCAAGTTCTACCATGGCCAGCACATAGTCCCGATTTTAACCCAATTGAGCATATCTGGGACAACCTCAAAAGACGGGTGAAAGCAAAAGTACCAGCCCCTGCATCCTTTGAAGAGCTGAAGACAGCTGCGGTAGAAGAGTGGCACAATATCCCCCAATCTGATATCCAGGATATCATGAATGGATTTCCAAACCGGCTCTAAGAAGTCCTAAAGGCTAGAGGCGGTAACACCCATTATTGATACCCAATTGTTCTTCAATTAGACTTTGATTTCCAAAATATTGTTAATTTGAATTTTCTTCGAATATTTTATTCATTGAATTTTTACTGTAACAAATGAATTTTTTCAAAAAGATTATTTTTTCTCTTCCGCGGAGATAAAAATTGATAAAAAACATGTCTAGTTGTTAAAGCACCTAACTTTTGTATTATTCAACATAAGCAAATGAATCAGGAAACAAAATTTTGAGAAAGCAAGAAATAAAGGCTTGTTATGCGTAATGAGAGATACAAGCTACTTCAATTGCTTATACAAGGGAAACTACAGGGCAAGAGAAGTGTAGGAAGAAGAAGAATCTCATGGTTGCGTAACTTGAGGGAATGGTACGAATGTACATCAATCGAACTATTCAGAGCTCCAGCATCCAAGATCAGAATAGCTATGATCATTGCCAAATTCCGTAGCGGGGATGGCACGTTAAGAAGAATTCAGAAACGTTTCTGACAGTCACGGGCAACATGGTTGGAGTAGAAAACTACTATAACAAAGACATAATTGTTTGTGATCAAAAAAGCACAACGTCAAGAAAGCTTAAATGCATTAAAAAATTAAAAAGGTACTCTATAGTGGACATCATGATGAACTTAAAGGTGACTGCCCAGGTGCTATGTTTTATCAGGGTTATTCTACGGAACTGAAGCTTAGATACTAAAGAAAGACTGGAAGCATCTGAAGTATGGTCTTACAAAAAAATACGGAGAATATACTGGCTGGATCTAGTCACAATTATCGAAGTATTGAGAAAATACTTATGTGTCGATACTTATAATTTCAAATTTTGTAACGGATAATCGAATAAAGGAGCCATAAAAAGTTACGAATTTCCTGGTTGAACAATTTGAGGAGCTCGTTTAAACGTTTTTCTGCAAACCTGTTTATGGCGACGGCATCAAAAATTCGAATTCCCGTGATGGTTGCTAACGTTCTTAGATGAGATGGCATATCAAGAAGATAAGAAACAATTGGTGCTATTACAACGCTTCTAATAATATGGTATCCAACTATGATTAATGTAAGAAAAATAATATACAACCTAGCATTACTTTGAAAGTTAAGAAATGTTTTAAATGTTATTATAATGTTAAATATGTTGCTAAATATAGCGCAAAAAATTTTTATAACACTATTATTCGTATAAAGATATCCAAATATGTATATCAATATATTAACACATTAAAGAAATACCTGAAAAGGGAATCCCACCAATTACTTACCTAGACACAAAATAACTTTAAAAGTCTTGATTAGGTCTTCACTTAACAAGGGCTTGCATTGCAATTAATAAAAAGTGTCATACCCACGTTCAATGTTATA